ACTTTAAGAGAACACTGTGGCCAAGTTTTCCATAAGTTTGGTGAGCTTGTTGTCCAGAAGAAGTTAAAATGTTCATCTTTAACTTTTGAAATAATGAAAAATATCTGTGAATATTTTCAATTGTTTTTTATTCACAGAAGTTTTTTATTTGTTTTCTTTCAGGGATGAAAGTTTCTAGTGAGATGAATGGCATGGCCGATTGGGTTTATGATTTTCATCAAAATTTTCTTAGGATTACTTAGGAAATCGCATTGTATATCAAAACTCTCAAGAGATCAAATTTCTACTCAATTTCTTTGTATTGCAGTGCTTTGCAGGCCTGTCATGTTTGCTCCCTCTGTATGTTTACAACCCAAGTTACCCTGGGGTAACTCAGCAGAATTATGTATGATTTAATACACATGACCCAAAACTTGATTCAGGCTCATAGGATTTTCTTCAATTATTATTAATGCTCAGGGAAGTAAAAGTTGCATTACAAAACTGCTCTATCAGTGTGTGAGATTCTCCCCTCTTAACTAAAAGACATACTGCTTTGAAGAAAAACTTGCATTATTTTCTGCAAACAGTTTCACTTTTGACATTTAATTGAAATTACTTGGCATTTAATTGAAAGAGTTAAAAATAATTTAAGTTCTAATAGCTACTAGCAAATTGGATATTATTGAATAACACTTGTTTGCAGATATTTAAGAAGGACTATCATTAGAAATATTCCCAGATACCTGGAAATCTAAAGCTGCATATGAATGAGGGTGGTCCATCCACTAGTTTATGGGTCCCAAATCCCTCAGGTGATGTCACAAATTGACCTAGTGTCCCTGTGAGCAGTGTTTTCTCTTTGAAACGCTGAATTTTCTGCAAAAAATGTAAAATCTTGTGTAGTCTGTACACTCCTCATTGACTATGCATCTGAGAAGCCCTACGTGTGTTGTTTATTTCAGCAAATACATAGAATAATACACACTCCCGATAACTTCAGACAATGGTATGCAAATAACTGGCATGGGGGGCTAAAATCTCAGATGACATACCCTTTTCAGGATGTGTCAGCATGAGTACATTCAACATGTCAACATGTCCATGCATGTTTTGGAGGAGAGCAGAATCCCAGCACAGATAGGGTTTCACAGCATTTGTTCTACTTTTTGGGGCTGCCTCCATAGGAGTTTCACAGAAACCAGCTTTATGCAACTGCAGTTTTAGATGGGAAAACTTCCACCAACAGTCTCCAAAGATTTGTAGCATAGGTCATAATCTGCTGAAAATATTCAATGGATATGACCCAAGGGCACAGTCAAATATTCTTGGTCCTTGTAGAAGTTTAGTTCTGAATCTCAGGCTTGTGTACCCAGTGAATATTACACACTGTCTTCTCCTACACTGTGAACTTCTAAGCCTCAAACTTCAGCTATCTTCCCTTACTTTGAAGAATGTTCATTCCCCTTCCACCAGCAATTCTGAGATATTTTCATATGCACCAAGTCTTTCCTTGGTTTCCCCAGGACAGTCCTGTTCAAACCCAAACAATACATATCTGAACTAGTAGAGCGGTTACAGGTTTGCAGGACAAATCTAGTAAAACACTGAAGTACATATGCTTTCTTTTAGTGGGGGAAAAAACCAGTCTGATTTTACCATCTGCACTCACATTGCATGGTAACTTAAGACTTAAATGTAAGACCTGCTGAAAGGGAGCAACCACCAGGAGCAGGAGTCAGAATCTACTTCTTCATGATTTTTGAGAGGTAAAAAAGAGATAATTTTATGGTGTTTTTTCTTTCTCATTTACACTAAGTTGACTTCTTCTCCCTTTCTACATTCAGCTTTATTAAATTTTTCTGCTTTGGCACAATTTTAATACTGATATTTTACCTAGTTTCATCACAATTCTGACAGCTCACAGAGAAAGAAGCTCTGGGAGTTCTTCCTGAGAACCTCTTCTCTCACATGATTCTTCTCTTTCCTCTATGTTTTTTTCCTAAGATCCAGAAGACCCCCCCCCGCCCCACTACTGTTCCATGGACAGACACCTTGACTCTTTCATTACCTTTTTTGACACTCTTTGGAAACTCTCTTCTTCTGAGCTCAGGGACATCTCAGTCCCTCTTTGGCTTTGGAGCAACCTTCTAGCTCACTCTCTCTTTTTGAGTTTGGTGGCATCGTATGAGCTCGTCCATTTTCAGAAGCCTTTGGTCAAATTCTATAAGATCATAGTGTTGTGTAACAATGTCATACCCTCCGTGCATTGAAGATCTCTGATCTGATGTGCCTACTACAGTGGTGTAATTCTCATTGGAAGAGCACACATTTATAAAGAAGAAGGAACTTTGTACAGATCAGTTCTATCTTAAATTTTATCATTCCAGGTCTACACAACTACACATTTCCAACTTAGTCTGTTTCATTATCCAGTTCTAGATCATGACTTTCTTCTTTGTGGGTTTTTAACCTTGTGATGAATCTAGATTACATATCTGAATTAAAATTTTTCCAAACCTAGTGAACAAATTCATTTAATTGTCTTGGGAAACAGCACTGTGAATGCATTTTCATTGCATTTTTTACTTAGTTTCAGCTGCAACAGCCTCTGTTGAGTCAAGAAGCCCAAAAGCTGCAAAGAAAACCTGTTTCAGTTCTAAATCTACTCAGATATTCAGAGTACAGCTTTTTTATTTCTAAATCTCAACTCTGAAAATCATGAAAGAGAAAAAAGTCTTTCTAAAGGTTATCCTAGGATAAGCCCTCATCTCCTATTTTTCCATTTTTTATTTTTGCCCTGGTTTCTGCATATTCTTTGGATCCTCAGGAAGAACAATAAATCATTAGTGTCATTAATATCATAGACACTGATATCCTGTGACATCATGTTTCTTGAATTATTCTTTTGGTCCCTGACAATTTCTGAAAATTTCTCTTCATTGCTCTGAAGGGCGCTTTATGCCTAGAATTCTACTATGTCTGTTTTCCTTTACTTTCACCTCTAACCTTTTGCTTTCTGACTCTCGTGGGTCACCAGCTGTTGTATGCTTATCCAATAAAGGACTTTCTCAGAAAGGAAACTCCGCTCAAGTGTAATACATTATATTTCTCCGAACTTCTAAAGCAAATATTCTTCTGCAAAGAAAAGAAGTACTTCGTACCCTTTAGGAAATAAGAAAGCCAACATACTGCTCCTTAGACTCAATACATATTGCCTCTTGCCTGAATATCATACAAAATAAAGCTCAGTAAAGAATGGGGTATGATGATGTAAGTAAACACTGAGGGGATCTACTGTGATAGTAAACCTCTATGTATTGTGCTGGTGGAAGAGAAAAGACTGAGAAAGGACATGGAGAAGTCATGGATTGCCACAGTTGATGGTAAGAAGGAACATAAGGCCAATGGCTACTGGAGATACCAAAAAAAAATTAGTAAGATTAGGATAAAAAGACATCCTTCCTTCATTAACTCAAAGTAGATTTTCACATTAAAAAGAATTTTTAGAAGTTTTGAGAGGCACTGGAAAATTGGAGCAGGTTCAGTTTGGGAGTAGCAAAGTGATCACAGTGTTGGGAAACTTGACATGTGGAGAAAGGTTGGAGGAATTGGGTTTGTTCTACTCAGGATCAAAGGATCTTGTATCTAAAAAGTTTTTATAGATTAGAAGGTGTTCTTGCTTCACAGTGATTCCTGGTGATAGACAAGAGGCAAAGGGGACAAGGTGCTTCAGGGAAAACACTGTCTGGATAGAAGAAAAACTTACTTAAAAGTACTCTTAAATACTGGAACAGTTTGTGCAGGGAAGTGGTAGAATCTACCTTGCTGGAAATATTCATGTCTCGTCTGAACAAAGCCCTGGATAACCCAGTGGAAAGCCTAGGACGTTGGACCAGATGACTAGAGGTCTCTTCTAACCTAGACTTCTCTATTATTCTGCATCTCATACTAGATCCTAGTGTAGCATTGGGTTAAAATCTTAGAATAAGGTTAATTTTAAAGGCTATGTTAAAAATTAACATACATTTAGAATTTCAAAACAAACCCATATATTTTTAAATTATCTTCATTTAACAAGGGTAACCAGTTTGGCAGTTTTTAAAAAAACTGAGGGTTCCAGATCAGTGTGCTTGGTTCTTCAGCCAGCCATTCTCCACTCTTACCTCAAGATCCCTCTGCCTCCTAAGTAGCTCTGACAACCTGGTTGTCTCAACTGTCTGTTGGTTAATTAAGAACAAGATGCTGTTAACTTCAGTTAACATAAATAAATGACTTTGATTAAAATGTTTATTGCAGAAGCAATCAAACAATATAATTTTGTAAAAACTGAATTTTAATTGTTTTGATTGTATTCCATTATCATTGGTGTAACTACATGTCTTTTACTGTACCTCAATTTTGATTCTAAAAACCCCCTATCACACCCTCTTTAAAGAGCAGTGTGTCTGCTCTTTAATTCTGACAGTGTTACTACCACTGGGATTCTTGTCTACAGTTACAGGGTTTTTTATATAATGTAAACTCTTAATCTTTCTTTCATTATTAGTATTTGCCTCCTATAAGACCACAAACACTATCCTCCATCTCTGAAGTCTCATCTTCTGATGTTCTTTTTGCCACTGACTTAAAAAGGCCAAAGACCAAGTGATTTCCCTCTTCTGTATATCTTCAAATGTTATGTTTCTTGTATTAATTGAATAACTGTACTGCAGTTCTCTGTTCAAGTGCTGATTTTACAGTCTTTCCTGACTTTTCTGCAGCTTTGTTTCTTTCTGTTGTTTGACTTCACTGGAGGATTTAACACTATTATAATCATAAAATCATAGAATCATAGAATGGTTTGGATATGAAGGAACCTTAAAGATCACCTAGTTCCAACCCCACTGCCATGGACGGTTCTCCTTTCTTTTTCTATCATGCCCAGTCATGTTCTTCCCTATGCCCTTGTTTCCTTTAGTAAACTCTTTACTGTACCAAAACCTCACAGTTTTGTGCCTTTATCCTTCTCTCATCTTCAGGCACACGATGTGCTCTCAGTGGAGAAGAGGCTGGGCAGCAGTTGTTGGAGCAGATGCGTGGAGCTTCTGGAGGACTATCTGAGCTGTTGGTGACAACTTCTCATACTCCTTTCCTGGACAGGGTTCTCACTTTGGTACAGAGCACTTCAATACCTAATCCCCTTGACCCCCTCTGGGATGAACATCTCTGGCAGGCTGACTGTTAGCTCAGGAAAAAAATGAAGAAGAAAGAAGAAAGACTTAAAAGACATTCAAATGCTAATGGTCTTCCTCTCCCTGTCCTGGAGTAGGCTTTATGCCTCCAATCCTTTTTCCTAATTCGTTGAGTAGTGCTGGTTTACCACCAGCACAGTGGTCCTTTCAAAGCCATACTTTTGAATGGCACTTCCTATTTCAGCTTTTCTTTAAACAAAACAATTGTGTCTGATCTCCATAACTAGAACAAGTGCAAATCTGGAGTGAAAGATGAGGCAACCTGGCACACCCTCAGTTACAAACTGTCTGGGGGTTCAAATAGCTTTTGATATAACTTAGATCAGCCTGAAGATGATCTCAATGACCTCTATCTGTCCTATAGGAACCAGTGCACTGGGTCTGGTCATGATCCCTCCCTATCCAACCACTGCTATGAACAAGAAAGGGCAAATGGTTGTATTTATCCAGCCTGCTGAGGATGACAACACTCCTTCAGAGTCCAGATTGGACTTGAGCAGTCCTTGACTCAAAAGGTTTCAGCAATCCAGCCATGAAATACCACAAAGAATCTCACCTGGAAAAATGATTAAGGAAACTTATGTCATGACAAATATAAAACATAAATAAACCTATGACTGAAGAAAACAAGAAGGATGAAAGTGCTCCTTATTTGTACAGGATGTTTTACAGGATCTCTGTAAAATAAAAAACTACCAGTCACTTGGATGAGGACTGGTTTGCCTCAAGGGGGAATTTGGTTTAGGGAACAGAGGTCCTTGAAGACTTATTTTCCCACATTCACGTAATTTTTTGTTTGCTCACTTAGAACTGACAACAGGCTTATTGATCTACAATGCACACAAAAAATCCTTTCTATTAACTGTTATCAGTAACAATAAAATTATAGCATACTGTCGTGGAAAATAACTCAAAAATAGGAATAAATTTGGCATGAGGGAAGATGATTATTTTCATCTTCCCTTGTAGAAACTGCAGAGTAAGTGCTTTTAAGATGGACTAGAATGAAAAGCAAGGAGGAGATGTGGTTATATTAAAAAATTCAGATGAACTACAACTTCCCTTTTTCTGAAGAACTGAGGTGAGCTTCTCTTTGAGCCAGCCTAGTTCAAACAGTGAGAGAAATAAGGGAACTACTGTGCAACAGCCACCACGTGATTGACCTCTACCATTTGTCTCAATGAGCCAGGAATGAACTTGAAATACACAGAATGGTGTGACAGGGAAATAAAACAAATCAGTAGAAAACGGAAAAAAAAGCTTTTAAGTACGACAAAACAAAACTTTCTCAAATCTGTTAAGTGTTGGTTCATGGATATGATTCAAGACGTAAACCAACACAGCAATGTAAATTGGGATGGGACTGGACAAAGGGTTATGAAAATGAAACATTTCCTGTAGAGTTCCTGTGCTTCTTTGTTTGCATTTCTAATTGGAAAATAAATCTTGAAGACATGCCTGAGCCATCTTAGCTGTTGGATGTGAAAAACTTATGCTCCGATGCAGTGATTCTAGTTGCTTATTGTTTCACAGCTCCAAAATTCTGTGAAACACTGAGAATAATATAAAAACAGAGTATCAGTGTCAATCTATCAAAAAGAAATCAAACTTTCAATATGTAGGTAATATTGCTACAAACTATGAAGGTGCTCTAATGTCTCATGCCCAAGACCGTATGTTATAAATCCACTAGTTTTTCTGAACTAAGAATCTTTGAAAAGACAAACTTTTATCAGAAGTCCTGTTAAACTTACACCAATGAATGTAATACAACTGTACCTGATACTATTCTTATATCTCATAAAACTGCCTACATTTTGACATTTCCCCTATTTGTTTGTGTTTAACCATGGAAATATAGCAAAGGGAAAACCAGAAAAATCTTGAAATCTTCTGATAAGATACCTTCTTCAAATAATGTTTAACTTGCAATAACTCTTTGAGCTATGTAGAACAGAGTATTTTAAACTTTTCCTTCTCCATCAACCAAGTAATTGTTAAAATAAAGAGAAAGCAATTGAAGTATCACCTAAATGGCAGACAACACATTTTGTTGTTTTGCTGCAAGGTAATCTATACATGCCAGGGCATAAAAGTAAGGGCTCTGTAGCTCTTCTAACAGAACTGCTTCAATGTGAAGTTTTTAGTTTTAAAATTGATAGATTTGTTTCTCTTTTGATGGAATATTAAACTTTTACAATTAAAGTTAACTGTTTATTTGGTGTAAACTACAGCTTTTGTTTCCTGATATAACAGCATTTCTCCATGATGTAAAATACATTAATACTACAATTTTCCGTTCTATTCAAATCAGCTTTTAATTGAAGTTCATGTGAATGGGCTATTCTTTGTGATTCTTATAATCTTATAACTAGTTTATGTTTTTTTTCTGCTTGTCACAGTTCATGTGAATTGAAAAAGTATTTGGTTTAGAGGTGTTAAGAGTGATCATGCACAAGAAAAAGTAGCTTATTTTCTAAACTTTCTAGTCAGATAACATTTTCAGATGAGTGAGATTGAGTACAATTTTCTTTTGAACTGTTCTGTCAAAAATAAAAGCAGTATTCAACAGAGGAAAAATTTATTTTTAGCTAAAAACATCTCAGGAGGATACCTTTGTTAATTGCATGAAATATATTTCTTTAGTTGCTTCCTCTCCTTCTCTTCATTTTTTTTACTGTTCTTAATTTTTCCAAATGTTTACTGTTCTTTAGATTTTTATAAAGGGAAGGAGGGGAAGGTGATTAGACCATGTCTGTGTTGAGAACTAGCTTCAATACTCTTTATTGTTAAGAATGTAACCAGATGCTTAACTAAAATATTTGATACTCTGTGTTTCAGTGCAAAGCTCCTTTTTAAATCACAGATAAATTAAGGCCAAAGGAAAGGCATTACCTTAATTTATGAACTAAGGAAGTAATCTGGGTGTAGGTTTTTGAGATATCTAACTTCCTACATAGGAATTAAGCTAAATCTGGAGGTAGTTTCATGTTTAATATCTTTCACTGAAAGTCAGACCTTTTGAAATCTAATGCAAGGCAGAAGTCACATGTCGAGATTTTGTTTTGAGAGGGTGTAATTGCATTGGTGTAGTGGGTGGACCCTGGCTGGATGCCAGGTACTCACCAAAGACATTCTATCGCTCCTTTCCACAAATGTACAGAGGAGAGAAAACATAACAAAAGATTCACGGGATGAGATAAGGGCAGGGAGAGATCATAGATTACTATCATGAGTAAAACAAACTTGACTTGGTGATATTAATTACATTTATTACTAATAAAAATCAGAACAGGATAATGAGAAGTAAAACAAACCTTAAAAACAGCTTTATCCCATGCCTCCCTCCTTCCCAGGCTCTACCTCCTTCTGCTCAGCGGCACAAGGACATGGGAATGGGGGTTACAGTCAGTTCATCACAGGTTGTTTCTGCTGCTGCTCACAGAGAGGAGTTCTTCCCCTGCTCCTGTGTGGGGTACCTTCTGTGGGAGACAGTTGTCCACAAATTTCTTCACCGTGAGTCCTTCTCATGGCTTCAGTTCATGAACCAGGATGGGTGCCTTTCATATGGCGTGCAGTTCTTAAAGAATGGGTTGCTCCAATGTGAGTCCCCTATAGGGTCACAAGTCCTACCAGCAAACCTGCTCCAGTGTGAGCTCCTCTCTCCACAGGTCTGCAGGTCCCTGCCAGGAACCTGTTCCAGCCTGTGCTTCCCAGGCATTTGCAGACTTCTTTCAAGCATCCACCTGCTCCAGTGAGTATCTTCTCCATGAGGATGCAAGTGGATCTCTGCATCCCTGTTGACCTCAATGGGCTGCAGGGTCACAGCTGCCCCACCATGGGCTGCACCATGGGTTGCAAGGGAACCTAATCTCTGATGCCTGGAGCACCTCCTTCCCCTCCTCCTCCTTGGTGTCTGCAGCATTGTTCCTCTCACTCTGCTGTTCTCTGAGTGCAATTATACCTACACTTTTTTTTCCTTTTTCCTTCTTAAATATGTTATCAAAGAGGCAATACTACCATCTCTGATTGTCTTGGCCTTGGACGGCAGTGGGTCCATCCTGGAGCTGGCTGGCATTGGCTCCATCAGATAGAGGGAAAGTTTCTGGTAGCTTCTCACAGAAACCCCCCTGTAGTCTCCTCTACTACCAAAACCTGGCCACGCAAATCCAATGTAATCAGTCAGTTTAGTCCTAAGCCCTTACATATTGCTTTACCCTCCATTACTTTGTACAGCATTGCTGTAGTCAATGAGCAGAATTTTATGAAGACCTGAACATGATTTTATATAGGTTTATGTATGTACAAATTGGCTTTATAGCACTCAGTCTGAATGATATCAGTCAAGAAGGAATTAGAGAGTCTTTTTTTGTTGTATTATAGCAAGAAATCTGAAGGTAAATGATACTAATGGTGTAGCAACACTTGTGTTCATATGTTACTCTCAAGGTACAAGTGTGGTTTTGTTATATGTTTTGTTTTATTCTTTTCTGTTACAGAGTAGCATAAACATCGTTAAATCAAGATGTTTTTCTGCAATTTTTTTTTAAGGAACACAAGGTCACTTGTTATTGTAATTGTACTCCCTGATAGGGATAACATTTCAATATATGTATGCATTCTATACTGAATGTCTCTTATGTACTGCAACTATGTTAGTTATATCTGTTATGTACATATATTATTCCATCTCCTCTTCAAGCTGCCTTAAACCAGTTGATAATGATCCCAGTCCCACCAGAATCAATGAAAATATATTTTCACTTGATTTCATTAAGTTTTGAACCTGAGCGGTAGAGAACCTCCCTAGAGCACCATAAGGACCATGTTTTCCTTCACAACAATTTTTTAGTTTCTTTTTTGTTGTCCCTTCTTGTTAGCTTTAAATCTTTGTAGCTCTGGTTGCATAAGCTTCAGGGATTGTGCAGCAGAACAAATGGTCAGACTCCTTTGATCTACACACTGTCAACCTCAATCTTCAGATCAGATCTACCATCAGCAGAGGAAAGGAAAATATTCATAAAAGCATTTATACTTATGCACTATCCAGGCAGAATGCTGTCTGGAGACAGGAGATACTAATTTCCTAGAAGGTTGAATAGTTTCTGGACATGAAAATCTGAGAAGTTTCTGGTTACCTACCCAAGCTTGTCTGCTGCTCTGAAGTTTCTGAAAATCTACTGAAGATCTCTGAGAACAACACCGATGTGATCAACCAGCAGTAACTACAGGAGAAACGGGGCAGGAGGCTGCTGGAGCAGGAAGTAGCTGTTGGCCTCTGCTTGCTTTGCTTGTGCCAGGATGTCCACTGCTCTGATCTGGTCTTTGAGGACCATCAGTACTGAGACCAAGGAGATAAAAATCATGGTCTCTCTTACCTTCTGTGAAGAGCCATCTCAGCTCTCCGATGAGCTATGTCATGATTCTTCTTTGATCTTGTACTGTCACTGAATGATGAAATTCAGTTTCCCCTTAAAGACTGAGAAACCTAGGCCTAACTGTGTCATGAAGTCTGCTCATGGTTGGTCCTGGCTAGCTCTCCTCAACAACAGCATGACCATGGCAAGCCTGTGGGTCAAGCCAGGCCATCAGGCAGAGGGGATCCAGTCCTATGGGACTTCATGCTGAATTCTTAACACCCATGTTCTCCTTGGAGGCCATAAAGATATTTCTGTCTTCTGCTGCTTCATCCATGGCAGTGTGTGCATAAAACTGCTTTAAAACAAATAAATCCCGTTTGAAATATTGGGGTTTCCCCCTCCTTTGTCCCAAAATTTAATTTTGAAGGGTTCGTGGAGCAATAAGAATGAAGGTTTCAGACTGACAACTTTGGGGGTGTGGGACTTGTGTTTTGATTTTTTATTTGCTGAGGGGTTTTTTTGTTTTGGTTTGGTGAGTTTTTGTGATGTCTGTTGTCCCCTGGATGTGAAAGGTCCTTAAACCAAGGACACCTTTTTAAAACTGTCTTCTTTCCCCACTGACTGGAGAAGTTTTTCTTGAAAGTCTACATCAGACTCTGAAAATCCTCCTGTAGTCTCTGAGAAAGTGTAGAGCGGAGAAAATATGCCAATAATGCTAGTAGATACCTTGAAATTCAGAACTTATCTCCCCATTAAATTCTCAATATCAGCTCTTATTTCAAAGATTATTTTAGAACTAAAAAAGTAATTTAATTTATTTTCTGTCCGAAGTTCAAGTCATTAGTCTCTATCCAAATCACATTATCTACCTTTTCCTTGCAGCCATAAAGACTAGAAACTCTCAATATTTTTTTTGTCTTTTTTGACCAAATTTTGATCAAATTACTTCTTTTCACAAAATCAATTGGTTTCCATAATTGAGGTCTCCTTAATAGTCCCTGAAATATTGTCCAACACCAGCCAAATTATAAGAGTCAGTCAGACACATCACAAATTAGACTCTAGTTAAAATGTTTATGAATATGATCAATACAGACAGATTACACATTGTAATCTCTGGCTAAACCACAGATCAAGTGCTGTACAGAGTTCCCTGTGTTGTGTTCCCTGGTCACATATAGACCAGGGGATAAATCCTACTTCCATGGTATAATTGCACTTACAGTAGTGTCAGGTTGCTGGAGAGAGTTAATAACGGCCACACTGAAGAAAACAATAAGGGCCATTTAGCTCCAGATGCAGTCCAGAAGTTCTGGGGAATACGTGTCATCCCCACCCACAGCACGCCTACACCTCTCCTTTCACTTCAGGAGGCAGCTTTTCCATTACCATTGAACTCTCAGAGCAAAGTGATATTGCTACACAGGGAAGGAAAGAAATCTCTGAAATACAATCCAGCAAGAGGGGTATATTGGCCAGAGAATAAAGTGAAGTATGAGACAGAGGAAATATGCAGTAATTATGAATTTTCTTGGAAGGAAATAATTATCTCTTTTGCCCCACAAAAGTGTAAAATATACTTTAAATACTTTTGTCCAATACCAGTTGAAAGGAGTAGTGCATTCTCACAAAATACCAGGGATCAACAGAGCTTTACTTGAGAAACACAGCTTTTTAAGGGGCAGGTCTCTTGTTAGACTTGTGATGAATTACCTTTTTTTTTTTTTTTTTTTTTTTTTGCATAGATATACTAAATAGCAGAGATTGCAACGTAAGTTTCTATATTAACTTGATATCATACATATACCAGGTGGATAAGGAAGGGATTTAAAGGCAAATAAAATGTAACTGCAGAGAAGTTTAGCACATCAAATCTGATCCATGTTTGTATGATATGTGCATATGACCAGGGTAGGCTCAGCAGCTTCATTTCTAGATTTTCTGTGGTGGGAATATGTGATTTTTTTTTTTTAGAAAGATAAAATCAAGATTGCCTATAACAAAGGTGTGCTGCCAGCAGAAGCAAAGAATCACTCCGTTTTTCCAGATAATTCCTTCCGTTAGTTAATCATGACAATTGCATAGTGAGCAGTAGGACTGAGATTTCCAATGAAAAGGAAGATTCAGCTTCAGAAGGATTTTTTAAAGAAAAATATGTAATTTTATAGATACATGAAGAACCAAAATTATATGGTTTTCTGAGAACACTTTGAACGTTGAAGAAATAAGACTGAAAAGATATACACACCCTCTGTGAAACTTCTTTATTCCCTTTTTTGCTTGTTTTCCTGATTCCTTTATGATGGAGGTGGGTCTTAATAAAGATGAAAGTGCTCGAAATCTCCTCTTTATTTTTTCTCCATGCATCCAGTGTAATTTCCTTGCACTGTATGTGATCATTCTTCTTTTTCAGAGGTTGAAAACTCTACATAGTGGGGATGAGACATGTCACTGGAAAGGATTTTTTCCATCTACCTTTCTGGTCCCTCCTCAGTTCCTTAACATTTTGATCTTGGCTGCAGACCTCTTACATTAAATGTCACTATATGGGCACTAGGAAATGCAACTATACAAAAATAAGAAATAATTTTTCCATCCAGAATTTGAGCTGAGTTGTATATTCTATAATTAGGAAAACATACATATCATACATATAAGAAAAATAAGAGCAGATCAAGACAAATATAGCAAAATTACATTATTTTCCTTCTTTCCTTCCTTCCCCTTCCTCTACAGCACTGTGTCTGCAAACCATTTGGGTCAGAAAATTATAGATAGATAAACAATGACCTCCACTTCATAAATGTTTTAATACCCATAGTTATGATATCACACTCAGAGATTACATTATACTAACTATTCTTACATGGGTTTTTTGCAGCCTGTTGTACATTGACTCTGCTTGTAAGCATGAACAAGAACAGAGAAATGGATATAAACACACATATAATAAAAATCAGGTATGAATAGAATGCAGGAAATACTATAAACTTAAGCTTCATAAAGAGAAGATTTGGAGAAAAAAACGGCTTTGGTTTTCTTCCTCAAAATTTTACATTTTAAATTTTACAACGTAAAGTGAAATATTCATGTTGTCTTGGATGTGTTTTCTATACCAGAGCTCTTGCAACACCACTATAAAAGGAATGAGCTTCTAAAATAAGTTCAATGGAATGCTGATTCTTTTCCTTGATTATAGCCCTTTTCATGTCAACAGTATTAACTGCACATTGCAATGTCTGTTTCCTCCCAGGGTGAAACTAGCAGCTACGTGACATTTAAGCTGGAAATATCATCATTGTTTTTGGCTGAGGGGAGAGCAACTTGATGATGTGACAGGACAGATGTGTTTGTCGAAAGCTTTTCATATTATAAACAGCAAACATTGAGACATCTTATACAAAAATGTTATCTGTATCGAGTAAATACAAATAAATAAGGACTTTGCTGAGCGGTGACCTGGCAGATACATTTGCTGTTGCAAGATGCATTTTCCAGAGCCCCATGTTCCATTTATTTGAGCATGATCTCAAACAGCCTCTTCCTGGGACAGATGTGTTCTACAACAGCAGCAGCAACTGCTAAGCAAAAGAAGATAAAACTGGAAATCATCAAGGGGGAGGCTGTTTTTCTTTTTAAAGAAGTAACACAGTAAAGCACACTATAAGAATAATCAATGAGCTAAATTAAGCAAATTTCAAAATATAGTACTGTTTAACCTGTAGTAACTAAAAAAGCTATTAAGCTTCCCATACAAATATGCTACATACACATTTTTATTAGTTCATCACTTCTAACAAAACTCTAATAATTGGTTGAAAAGCAATCTATCAATATTTACAATACGAGCACTTTCCAGGAAGTGTTTAGAGAAGTAGGCTATGGCCCTTTTGTGGGGTCCGAGTTTTTGAGCCAGGACACCCAAGGCCATTCCCTGTCGTTCATGTGAGAACAGCCAGAATGGTTTTGTTACATCTGGCAGGCCCAGTGCTGGGGCCTTCATCAATTCTTGTTTCAGTCTTTTAAAGGCTGCTTCTGCCTCCGGTGTCCAGAGTAGAACACTTTTGGTTTTTTTAGCAGTTCATATAGGGGCTTTGCAAGTATACCATACTGGTATATCCATAAATGACACCAGCCTGTCATACCTAGAAAGGCACGGAGATCTCTCACTGTTTCCGGTCTGGGCATCTGGCAGATGGCTTCTTTCCTTTCCGTTCCCAGAGATCGTTGCCTTCCAGAGATCTCATATCCCAGGTATGTCACTTTTTCTTGCACCAATTGGGCCTTCTGTTGAGAAACTCGATATCCGTTTAATTTCAGTAAATTCAACAATGCAATTGTCCATTCTATACATTTTTCCTCAGTTTCAGTTGCTATGAGTAAATTATTTACATATTGTAGAAGAACGCCCTCTCCCTGTGGCCATTCCCATTGCTCCAATTCTTTAGATAATTGATTTCCAAATATTGTGGAACTATTTTTTTTTAAAAGGTAAGATCGTCTGATTCACATTCTATTAATAATCCTAATTCTAAAAATTTCTCTGTTATGGGTTCAATTCCCTTGTCCAATCTTTTAGTCTCAGTGGATATTGTTTCTTAGCCACTGGCTTGGCTCCTGGTTGTAGTTTTGTTTGAATAGGAATTGCCCATTTTGGCAATTAATTAAATTAAATGCCTAATGCCAAATTGTGTGAATGCTCATGAGAAGAAATGAAGGGGCATGACTTAAGATTGTTTATATTTTTACTAGGAAACACCAAACTTCTCATTTTGCCAATAATTTGTAAATATTAAATGGATGGTTTCATATTCTTCTAGCAAAATACTGAAAAGGAGAGTTTAGTAAAGGGAAAAGTAGTATTAGGAGTCTAGGATCATGAGTTTGCTCCTTTCTTATCCGACCTTCATGAAAGCAATGTAATTTTTTTTTTTTTTTTTAATTTGAAAGTATGACAAAAATCTTAGCTTACAAAATTAAAGGCAAACACAAGTAATCTAACAGGGCTTAGCTATTGTTCAGGTAGCATCTTTAGATGCTACAGGGCAGTAGGGAAGATGTTAACAGCAGTTCTATTTCAAGGAGAATTATTTCTCATGGGGAGACACAGAGATTCAGCATTTCTCATTTTTCATTTTAATGTCTTCTTTTCATTTCTGTCACACTTGGCTAACTGTCACACTAGTTAGCCTAAAACTTTGGGGTTTTTTTTATGAGGTGTTTGTGTTATAAGGCCTTTATTCAGCTGAAAGAATCTCTAAAGTCGTCAACACCTGTGTATCTCTTTCTTGTCTTTTTACTTTTTTCTATTTTGCATTAGTAGAAATTCCTACTCCAAGTTAAGTTTCTCTTGTTTTGTGATTAACACCCAGAACTTGCACTTTTTTGAAAGAAGAGTGTAGGCCTGATGGCTGCAGTCCATTAACATTTTCTCAATATACTTTGCTCACAACTTGTTTCCTTCTAGCTGAGACCTTACTTATAATGACATAATTATTGACACTGAGGACAGAGTGTGGGTACATGAACACAGATCACTTTGCCTCATTTCCTTGTACATTAGTATATTGTGAGAGATAAATAACTCACCAAACTAACACATAGGGAATTGATCCTGAAGAAACCTCACAGTCACTTATTCAGGTTCAATATAGCCTATTGAACTGTTGCTTTTCAAAGGCAGTCCCAACAGTCAACAAAAATGTGCTTCAATGTTAAGTAGCAAAAAGATTTCAGATAGAGACTAATTACTGTATTTGCAAATAAAGTGCTTACTCAGGGAGATAACTTGTATATTTTGAAATAAGGTGCTAATTGTAATGAAGTAGGAATTTGAAAGCCCAGAACTGAAAGCTCATGGACAGAGTGTAATTGCATTTCAATAGAAAATATGAAATTAAAAGAAAAAACAAAAAGTTAAGAAAATGTGAAGCTATTAATTCCATCTTATAAAATTAAATGAAAGAAAAAAAAGAATTTATGGCATTTTTATGTAATGGCTATTAGAAGTTATAGCTAAAATTTAATGATCTTAAAATATTTTCTTGCATGTTCTACCTTCTTTAGTTGTTATGTAACAATTACAGCTGATTCCTGAGTAGTTCCAGAAAACAATTATTATCCATGGCATTCCAATCACTAATTACTGCTTTTACTGAAAGCAGTTAATACTTTTGTCTTAATAAAATTAAAAGTTTCATTGAGAGTTTAAAAATTACTTGTAAAAATGAAAATATGTAGATGCCTTTACTACTTGCCATGGGCCAGTCTCCAAAGATAAAACATAAATATCCCTACTTTAGATCTCAGTGGGATGGACAAAAGAAAGGTTTAAAATTGGTTGCTGCCAAAGAATCAGTGATTTAGACTTGGTTGTATTCAGTGTGAGTAAAAGGAGGAAAAGTTCAAGTAGAAATACAGCATATATGTCATACCTTTAAATGAAAGTCTCATGGGCAGAGAGAACTTTAAGGATATGTTGGAGAGGAATGTTTAGAATTAAAGACGTAAGTGAAAATTAAGGTTTCTATAATTACTTACAATCTATAAGACAGAAAGAATTTGTGATTCCACAAGAACAGGAACACTATTTTTTGGATGTTAAGCAGAGAAGTGACAGCACCATATTAAAAAAAATGAAGTGGGTTAGCAAAGAAAATTAATTGCAATAAGTATGAAAGAGAATTTTTGTGTATGTAGCTGAAAACTTTAAGATACTGAAAAGAGATTTATTATTTCTTTACAGAAATAAAGGAAGAGATAAAAGAATCTGAAAGACCAGTAGAGATTTTTTTTTTTTTTAAAAGTGCACTGGGAACAAAACAGATCCTAGAAACTCTGGAATTCTATTAGTAAAGAGTTGTAATAAGCCTATTAGTAGATAGGCATCCCAGAAGCAGCCAAAATAATTTCTATTCTCCATTTGGAAATGACAAGTTCTTATTACATAAGAATATTCTTTAATGAGATTAATGAGTATTTTCCAGTCAATTAATAGATGTTAAACAACATCTGCCAGTAGGTCTGATTAATTTAACCCAAGAGCCCTAAAAGACTTGGCAGGGGAGAGCACTCTATCACTGATGTCAACTTTTAATAAACCTTGAAACAGCAGGGAAATGCCAGAAGACTGGGAGAAAACTGCTATGCCAATATTCTGAAAGGGCAAGTGATTCTAGCCAAGTAACTTCAGTTAGCAAAAAAAATAATTCCTTTGGGAACTAGCTGATAGGGAATTAAAGGACATCTCACAGGTGATTAGGGAAATTAATTTTGACAAACAGACCTAACTTCTGAATAATAATACTACTATTATGTCATGTAAAAAAGCTGTTCTCCTCTCCTCTAACAACCCAAAATAAATAAATGGTAAATGGCTAATGGGTGGTTCTAAAACAAAAACAAATATGAAAAGAAGGATTTTCTGCTGTGACATGCAGGGAAGAGGAAGTGTGCTTGTCAACGTTTTCACTGAGCTAAATCTAGCTCAAAAATTGCTGGTGACATAATAAACACTGATGAGGACAATCAAAGTGTTCAGTATAACACTTAATAAGAGGGGTCTATTCTGATGTTTTAATACAGATATATGAAAGTTGCAGTGACTGCAAAGTATGGGACTGGAGCCTAGCCAATAGAGACTGAGAAAACTATCTCAGTGTCATACTGAACTCCAGTGTTTCTGTGGCAAGGAAAGGGTGGTGCTATTCATGCAGCTATAGCATTATATAGAGTTAAATCACCACCATATTAGTTTAATTGTGGTGTTCTTTCAAAGAAGAGTTGCAAAGCCAACACAGGAGTAGAAAAGAACCCTGCTGCAAACTGAAAACAACAGACTAATATGAGAAATTAGACACTATCTTTTGACAGAGAGGCTGATCAGTCATCATAAAAATTACAAAGGTAGGCTGCAGGATCTCCATCTCTCAGATGAAGACTAGGTGTCTTTTAGGAGATGTGCTTCAGCTAAACATAACTAAGTGTTTAGGCAAAGAGAGAGGCCCTTGAGCTCAGCACAGGAAGGAGCAAATGAAATGTATGGCCTGTGATTCTTGGAAGGTTGTAGTGGTGTGATCTGATGAAACAAGCCAAACTTAAGCTGTGGAAATTTATGGGTCAATAATAATAATCATAACTATAAGCACATATGCAATTGCAATTGAGATAGTAATATACATTTTGAATTTTACGTTATGTCTGAAATTTAATGGAGTGACAGAGCCCAGGAAAGTGGATTATTCTATGGGGAAAAGAAACAAGATTTGGGGTCACAAAAGTTATCCACGTATTCTTCCAAGGTCCTGGAGAGATACACCTTTTGCATCAGATTAGGAGACAGTTGATCAGAAGTAATTTTGTCACATAACATTCCCTGGTATCTTATGGTGTGGTGCTTCTCCATAGTCCCTGAAACTGAGCCTCCTATTCTAGTTTTCTCTCAAATATGCCATTTCCATGGAGTTTCAGAACTTGCACCTGCAGGTGGAACCTTTCTGCAACCTCTGATGGGTGGGCAGATGTGAGGCCATCAGTTTCTGTCCTTTGTCTACAACTTAACTGACTTTGGTATTTCATCTAAAAAAAAAAAAAAAAAGGCTGCTTACAAAACATCTGTGGTAAGGCTCAAGAAGAAAATTTCTCAAATATATTAAATTACACTAGTTGTAACCTTGTGTAGATCTTCTTCTCCTTTACCTGCTTGCCGCCTTTTGTCTTATTAGCATCCTCTATCTATCTATCTATCTATCTATCTATCTATCTATCTACCAATCAACTTTAACATTTCTAAGTAAACTTGGATTCCATGTATGCTGAAAACAGCTGTGAGGATGTCAACCTTTTATAATTACAATAGTTATGAAATTGAGTGCACTTCTCCTGTAGCTTCAAGACAGAGGCACAGAAAAATTCTTCAGTGGGGTTTTTCTAGGCAGAAGTTACCCCAAAGCTGTGCAGTGGACACTGAATCACAGTGGAGTAAATCACAGTTTTACTCCTCTGCTTCCTTTGAGCATCTTCTCTAGGGTGCAGGAGAAGGTCCACACTCTTGTTATCCCTACTGCATTTTTCTTCCCTTCCTAACAAGGACACAGAAACCCCAAAACATCCTCCAACATGCTTAGAACTGCAGTATCATCCAATTCTCTGCTCATTTTAGAAGAACTGATTTGCGTATTTTCCTGATTGTTTTGTAACTATTCCAACAATAGAAACTCATTGCACACAGCTGCAACACAGCACTGTAGATTTTGTCATTTCCAAATACATACTCTTAGTAGCTGTAT